TTTAGTAAAATATTATTTAACATGCTTCTTAAAACAACTTCTATGTTGGTTTTTTTGGGTTTCTGCAAGGGGGCAGTTGGGGTGGGGGAAGGGGGGTTGCTTTTAAAAACAATCTGAAAATACTTTTTTACGTACTGTCGAAGTAGTATCTTGATTATTACTTTTTTCATGGGGCAAGGAACTTAAAACTAAATTCATTGTTGATTTCATAAGGGCACTAAAAGTACTACTTAACTCGGTAAATACTTGGATGGCGGGTAGAGTATTTTTGACATTTGCTATTACGTTCTAATTCTGTACCCTCTTATTATTCATCACACAAAATTCTCAAAATATATTTCTACAAAATATAATGCACATCTTTGAGGCGAACGCTTTCATGGCTTCACACTGTAAGATGCTAATAATGCGTGATAGTTTTGAGGAAAATTTAGGCATGATAACGTGCTAGTTCGAAGGAAAGTTAAAAGTTATGGCTGCTAATGCTGATGCACAAACCTACTTGTAAATTTCATACAAACTGTGCTACACAAGCCACATCCATTACTGTACAACTTAAGCCATCATAATGAGCAATTAAGTATACACAAAGCAAACTAATTTCTTTTTCCCAAATAAACATCTAAATTCAGTCTAATATTTTCCAATGCAAAATTGACAAGAAGCATTCAACTAGTTTCAATACATAAAGCAATACCACTTTAGGGTACTATGACGCAATATACAACCCTACTTTTCAAGCAATAAATATATTGGATAACATAAATTAATAATTCAAATAACAGGAATTGTAAGTTAACAAGGATTCCTAGTGCATACACATGTAAAAATTTTCTTCGTAAGTTCAAGAATATGTTACATATTTTGAACTATATCCAAGACTGTTATCAAAAAGTACATATTTACTGTACAACTTAAGCCATCATAATGAGCAATTAAGTATAGACAATCTTTTTCCCAAATAAACATCTAAATTCAGTCTAATGTTTTCCAATGCAAAATTGACAAGAAGCATTCAACTAGTTTCAATACATTAAGCAATACCACTATAGGGTACTATGACGCAATATACAGCCCTACTTTTCAAGCAATAAATATATTGGATAACATAAATTAATAATTCAAATAACAGGAATTGTAAGTTAACAAGGATTCCTAGTGCATACACATGTAAAAATTTTCTTCGTAAGTTCAACATATTTTGAACTATATCCAAGACTATTATCAAAAAATACACATTTATTAGAAGACTGACAATGTCATACTGTCAGTTAAAACAGTATGGGGATGGATTACAGCAGACTTCATCAACATAACAAAGTTTACACTTTATAGAAGATAAGAAGCATGATAAACAAACTTCCAGAGATGTACAATGATGAATATTAACAATATAGCAAGCTGCATGTTGAAGATCCATATCGAATATAGAGTATAGAAAAAACTCAATAATATGCAAAGTAGCAAAACCCAATATAAACACAATTATAACTGAATACACTGTTGTTCAGTTCATCTAAGGTTGGGGATGTTAACTGAGTCTATATAACCAACCATTTTGAGGGTTAATGCAAAAAAGAGGGCTGGGATCTAACCCTGAGACCCCATCCTTACTCTATTAAACACATGCATGCACGCGAGAGCACTCTCCTATAACAGGTGCAGAACCAAATATACTAATGCAGAGCACAAAAGTTCACAACAATAATAAGGCTCAAACTCCAACAAAGGCATTGTACAATAAGTCACAGTACACATCAACAGAATACAATCCGGAGTAAGTGACATTGTAGAATAAGTCATAATACAGATTAACAGGATACCACCAAGAGTATGTGACCACTAGTTTGAATAGATGAAAGCAAAAATACCATCATAAAGTACTATGAAGCAAAATGCAACCCTCTCCTTCTCGCAATAAATAGATTGGATAACATAAGTTTATAATGCAAACAACAGAAAATTGAAGTCAATAAGTATGCCTAGTGCATTAGACATGTAAAGTTTTCAATTCAATCAGTTTGTAAGATCAAAAGAAACCAATTTGAATATGCTACATACATGTTTGAGATATATTAACTTATATCCAAGAGGACCAAGACGAATCATCAGAGAATCCATTTTTGGTTAGAAGACTACCCGTGCCATATTGTCAGTCACAACACAGTATAAAGATAACTATAAAAAGAACATCAGCATAACAAAACTTATAGAAGATAAGAAAAGTGATAAACAAATCTCCACGGGTGTACAAAATGAGTATTAAAAATATAGCTAGCTATATTCTGAAGATTTATATCGAATATAAAGTACAGGAAAAAACTCAACAATATCCAAAGTAGCATAACCTAATATAAACACCATTATAACAGAATACTCTGTTGTTCAGTTTTCATCATATGGATGGGGATGTTTACTGAGTCATACGGGTGTTAATGCAGAAGGTAGTGTAGGGTGGGGTCTTACACTGAGACCCCATCCTTGTTCTTAAAAAAATTAATGCAGACCAAATCTACTAATGCGGACCACAACAGACATACACAGCAGAAGTGCACAACAATAAGGTTCAAAGTCCAACATAAACATTGTACAGCAAGTCATAATGCATATTAACAGGATAATATCAAGAGTAAGTGACAAACTTGCATTAATTGCTTACTTATTCTTGTTGTATGGCACAGTTAAGAGCATAACAAATTGCATGATGACAAGATATGTTAAGACTACATGCAAGAGCTACACTTAAATAATCAGAAAGATAGGCGATTAATTTCTCTTATCAAATATCAAATAAGTTATCACTATTAAACTCCCGGAATTCCAACGAGTCTCTCTGTTTTTAGTTTCAGCATCCTCGACTCTGGTTCTTAAGGTTTTTAACTTTTTCCTCTAAATGCAGTCCAGTAAAAATACCTAACTAAACTAGAGAACCAAACTCATATGTGAACTTGATTTCTTCTAGTCTAGATTCAGAAGTAATTCTAGAACTGATACAAGAAGCGCTAGAAATCATTACAAAATTAATACAGCCTATAGCTAAATGATATCCCTCTCTGTGATCTAAGAACAGACTCCCAAGGTCATCCCTTAACCAAAGACACCATGTCTGCTCTCATGTCTCTTGAAAAATACGATTTGTGCTCTTCAGATTTGGAGAAGAAAGGGTTATATACATAGAGATGAAAGAGGAGAAACTTGTGCATATGCTTTGTGAAAAATTGAAGTTGTGGGTATTCCAAAATCTAAGTTTTCAACCTAAGACAGATCAACATGAAACATTATATAGCAAAGAATTGAACAATAACACTTTTAACTAACATCTAAAAGTGGGGGAAAAAAGAGCTTGAAACTCTAATATGATACAAACTACTAGACTCAAATATATACAAATTAAAAAGTTCTCTAACACTAATATTTGCATAAGCTATCGATCAATCCTTCATATACTATCTACTATATAAAGCAATATGTCAAAAGAAAATGCTATGCTGTTCTAGGCATGAAGAAAAGCACCTAGCATCTAGGCTTCCTACGTCTGCTGCGGCAATCACATAGCTGAAATGTGTTGAATACTAGATTGGTTAAGCTGACACCTAAGTGGATTCCTAGGCCCTTTTACAACATTAATGATTATCTCTCTCGCGTGTTGCATCTAGAAGGTGTCACCGTCAGGTCCTTTTTTTTGTGTGTGTATCTTATATGAACATACCCTGTTTTGCTTCAGCCAGATGTCTGCACTCTCCTGCATTTTCAAAATTAGGTTGACATAATATTATGAGATGCCAGGTTGGAGTACCTGAGAGTCAAGATGCAAACTGAAAACCTACAATTCCATTGAATCACAACCTTCAAATTTGACTTTGGGCCTCCTTTCTATAGGATCTTGGCATCAAATACCAAGCCAATAATCTTGCAAGAGATCACCTTATTATTCGGACTTCCATACTTGACTTAAATTAACTCTGCTGCCTCACTGAGATTCTAAGCTGATGCTCATTGATTCTAGAGTCCATTCGTTTTGATATGTTGGTTATATTTGCTATCTTTCTTAAAGGATTGTCAATCCCAGTATAATTAACACCAGCGGTGCTCTTGCTTGAACTACACCATCTCCTATTCTTACCATCAGAATAATAAGTTCAAACCTGAAAGTATTTGCTTCTCTGCTGGTCTTTCTTAACTCAATGGTGAATCACTAAGTGCATCCATATGGAGGTTAGGTTCTCGATTCATCCGTCCTCTTTTCACAATCAGTATTGAATCAGAGACTCCAAACTCTGCAGTATGATGAATTTCAGGTGAAAGTCACAGTCCACAGAATTGAGCTTGTGCATATTTTGTCCTGTGTAATATAACTATAGATGTGTTTTTATTTCAAAACATGACACATATAAGATGGAAAAGATCTTAACTTATTAGTAGTTCATAAAGATTGACTATCAGTCAGTAGGACTACGAAATTATAGCCTGCACACAGGATACACTACTATATTTACAGCATGACCATGCTAAAAAAAGATGAAGGAACCAAGATAATTCACTGGTCTTTGCTAAAGAGCATTTCACACACACATTCACATACGCACGCGCGCGCGCGCACACACACAGTTACACAAACTCGAAAAAGATGAAGGATGTCAATATCAGGCTATGTTCTTTGCTCAAGAGCATTTCACACAAAAAAGACGGACTTCAAGATCAGGCTATGGTCTTTGCTCAAGAGCATTTCACACAGCCATCCACCCCACCCACCCATCCACCCATACACAAAAAACAAGAAGAAAGGTGATAAGAGCAATTAAGGCAACTTAAAGAATATGGAAATCAAACTCTGCCAATCAAATGATCACCAATGAATATGGATTATAAACATGACCAATAATTTCAAATATTGATAGGGAATCGAGTGATTTGCATCAGATAGTTACGTATGGTATGGTATGGTCATAGTTCTGAGTTATATGTAAACGATCCTTTAAATCATAGTTTTTAAGGCTGAAATGAACTACACCCTTATCCAACAACTTACTAAGATGGATGTGAATTGTAGGATACATATGCAAGAAATGTATGACGAGTGTTTTAAATTAAATATGCATTGTATAATTGAGTACATGTCAATACATAATTGAGTACATGTCTGAATAAATATATGCATATATGAAAAGAGTGTCCAAGAAGTTTCGCGTAAATGAGTACGACACATATCAGGTACTGGTACAACTCCATATAGAAGTACTCAGATAACATAGCATCTCGTTGTTCTTCAAAGTCTAAAAGGACAACACAAGAAACTATCAGACTTGGGATTCAAATAAATGAAGTTTTGAGTGATTAGAACTCCATAATTAATATGAGTAGGAAAAAATATGGATATGGTAATTATAGACCTAGAAAAAGTAGAACTTCTTATAAAAAGTACACCAAATATGATCTTATAGTTATTATTAATTCAAAGGTTACAAAAATATTTTGAAGGTCTAGGATGACTATACGAGGAACTATACAAGTATTCAAGAATTTAAGTGAACTTTTTCTTTTATCAATACTACAACATCAAGAAAGATATCTACAAAATCAAGAAATTCAAAAGAAAGGAAAATAAAATAAATAATTATAGAGTATTTCAAGAAATTCAAAAACTTCAAGGATACAATCAAAGCACCACTTTATTTTCTTCTAAAAGATTAGTAGAGAACATGGTTTCATGCTTTCTTAAATCTTCAAAATCTATAAGTGAATCTTACAACCCAAATTTTTTTTTTTCAAATCTTCCAGATAAAAGTAGCACGGTATGTAACATTACTGGAACAAAAAAAAATACAAAGCACCAATGTAATCAAATATTCCTGTTTTACATATCATTTTTGTGTTTCTCAAGAAACATATTTAGAAATTTCCAAATTCTAAAACTGTTCTATATTAAGAGTCAAAGTCTACGAAAATTAAAGCAAAAAGAATTAGAACAAGAAATTTCTAGTTCAAAGATTACAACAAAATGACACTGTTTAAAAAAACAATAATCTCCATAAGAAGCAAAAATAGCTGAAAAGTCAAATGAAAATTTGTACGGGCCCTAGAACTAATGAAGTTGAACAAAATCTAGTACTCCACATGACATAATTTTATAACAGAAATAAGCATAACTGGTAGAACTAGTGTTAAATTTTACATGACAAAAGCAGTGAGTGATATCCAATGATAATAAGCTTAAGGTGATGCTGATGATATGAAGATATCTAAAGTGCATGCCCTCACGATGCAACTTAGTATTAAGTGCTACTGCATACTGATAAAATGGTGTTACACACTGCGAATGAATGCAGAAAGAATGGATGACGGTACCGGTTAATACAGAACTACATAGTAAATATTTAGTGCAGAAGCGATGGACAACGATGGATGAAGTTCGAGAAATAAAAGTTGATGTGTAAAAACTATTAGACACACGATTAACAAGCCAAGATAGATAAATGCAGAGGTCGAATAGGGGGAAGTAAAGTGCAAAATAGCCCGTATATATCCGATCTGATCTACAATAGTAACCCAAAACAAATGCGAATATGGTTTCACATTTTTGGTTGGATACAAATATCGATTCAATTTTCGGATACGGTCCGACTATTTAAATTCAGATATGGATTAGATATAGATTTAGATATGAATTCGGACACCGACCCGGTTACAGATATGAATATTATTAAATTTTTTATTATCTTGATATCAATTGCATGCGATTTAAAATGTCGTCATATGTTTTTGGTTTACTAGATCATGCTTTTACAGAGGTAACAATTATACATTTTAAACTTATTTATAGTCAATTTTAAGTTATACTATAATTTAATTTATTTTTTTATCAGTGGATATAATAAAATGGGAGGCCTAGAAGAAAAATTTGCAGCACTTTATGTTGTAATTCTTGTCTCGTACTTTTTTCTAATCAATTGCTTGCAATTCTTAGTTTTGTGAGGTTTGCTTAGGTTAGTGTGGTTGAAATTTCATGAGATCTTACTGTCCAAAACAAATTGTTTAACTGATAACTTTTATTGTCCAATTAACATGATATTTTATGTTATCCGATTGATATCCGAATCATATCCGTTTTCCAAATATCTGATTTGCATATGTGATGGTATCCACATCCACTTCCCTAATATCCAAACCATATCTGTTTCCAATTGTGGAAACGGATGACTTTTTCTTATCGAAGAATACCTATATCTGTATCCATGTCTGTTTTTTAGGAATTGGATATGGATATGATAAGTGTCATATCCAAATCGAGTTCACCCCTAAGAGAAAATCATCAATATCAAGTTCAAATAACAAACAATATGAAGGCAGAAAATGGTCGTTGATACGGAAAATTTTGGATAATAACGTTTAACAACAATATTAAGTGCCTGCGAGACTAATGTAGGGGGTAATATGTGCAACTATAATTAGAATGGAATGAAAAGCGAGCTGAGCACATCACTTTTGTTTTTCAAGAAATTTCAAATCAATCTTTGAACTCTATGACAAAAATATTTTATAACTACAATATTACTATAATTAAAAAGCAAAATGAAAAAAAAAGGTATAGTTTTGGATTCAAAATTCCACAAATTTCTAAAATTCCAAAAAGCTCTAAGGTTGAATTGTGTTTTCTTGAAATAGAGATAAGATTTCATTACTAGGAAAATTTTAAAAAAATGATAGACCATCTTTAAAAAACATCACATTATACAACAACTACAAAGCCTTTTATCCCTAACGCTTAGGGTCAGCTACATGAATCCTATTCTTTCAGTTTTTTCGATATTCGGACATTTCCTCTATTTAACTATTATCATATCCTTTTATCCCTTTTAATTGCTTCTATCCAAGTTTCCTTAGGACTACCTCTAGATTTTTTTTCCCATTAACTATAATATTATCATTTTTCGTAACCGATGCGTTAAGAGTTCTCCATTGTACACGACCAAACTACCTTAGTCGATTCTCTCTCATTTTATCCTCAATAGGAACACATCACATTATACTACAAAGTAAAAAAAAATAGGCAATCTATTTACAAGTTTGATAAATTATAACCTACAGAACATAAGTTTGTTGAGAATAAAAAGCATATGGATAACATTAAAAATTTTGATACTTGAGAATTAAAAAGTTAGGAAGTATTTTGATAAAATTCAGAACTGCAAAACTGGAAAGAAAAACAAAGAGCAAAAACTATATTTGGTTTATAAAATTTTCTAATCCATTAGAGAAAATTTCAACCAAGATATCAAAATCTTTTTGATAAAAATGTCATATTACTGTAATTTAAAAAGTACACTAAAAATAAAGCTTAGACTTCAAAAAATCCCACAAACTTCTCAAAATTCCAGAAAGCTCTTGGAAAAGTTGTGTAGAAAGAGTTTAGTACTAGGAAATTTAATTAAAACAGTTAACGAAATAATTATATATAGTTTCAAAAGTTTAGCTATAATTTTGTGGCAAGATGAAAAATTAAATTAAAAAATTTTACTGAGTAATTTAATAGGTCCCACATTTTCATAAGCATAGGACACAAGAAAATAATTTCACATACTTTTAGATTCAGAGAAGAAACTTCAGATTCATATTATCGAAGAGAATAGGCAAGTTCAAATGTCAATACCTCAATATTAAATTAGAGTCAATCCGGTTCTAACCCGAGGCTATAGGGAAGAGTTAAGGAAGCCCCTTGGTACAAGCTCAAGGGAGTGCCAATAAGTGAACATATACAACCTCAATATATGCTTACACTGAACAAACTGCAATAAGGATAACCCAAAAAGTGCACATTATGATAAGAAATTAATATTTAGAGTGCACGAGATGCATAAATGAGAGTAGAATTGATGTGCCCATTGTATCAAATTCAGATTAAGCGTACCTCTAAGTAAGTCCAACTGGATGTAAGATGTCACCCAAAAGACTGTAGAGTAACAAGCCCAGAAAAGAGGAGCTCACACAAGGTAAGCATCTAAAGTGCATGTGAATCACTAACGGGTAATGATAGTAAAATTAATGTGGCACAAGGTATCAATTAGTCAATTAAGGAGATCCACAGTTAGTTAAGTAGTTAGTGGTGGCTAATTAAGCTTGATCGCAAATCGATTCGACAAATTTCAATGAGTAAGATAAGTAAAATATACTGTCGCCAAGTCTAAGCAATTGAATATGCTCCATAATGAGGTTCAGAAAATATCTTATGATAGTGATAAGATGGAAATATATAATCTCATAATATAACTTAGAATAACTGAGAGGAAACTTATGTAGTGAAACCCTTAGTATCAAATTTTGGTGGGTAATGATAAGCAGGAAATATATAATCTCAATAACCTTAAGGGCTTAGATGGGGCTACAGGATCTAGATCAATATTGAAGTGCGTGCAAAAATTGGGGCATGAATAAAATTATGAAAGCCCTCTACAAGTCTCCGGATCAACAACTAGGTCGCGGATAAATATCTGTGAGACTCTAGAATTGGCATCAGTTTCAGTTAGTAACTGAAAGTAGGCACTATAGACTATCTGGAAATCTATAAGAAATGATCTGATGTTGGATCACGTTAAGCTGTATTTTAAACATTCATAAAACGATAAATAGATGAAACACATTTGCAAGTTTCCGGTGAGTATGAATAGGGCAACAGAATGTATCAACATGCCTAACGAGACTAATATTATTGAGGACTGACTTCTCAAATGTGTGAGATCACCCGAGGGTAGAATTAATGAAGCACTTGATATCAGTTCACATAACTTGGGAAACCGATAACATGTGACAACTTGAGTTGATGCAAGTTATGATGATTAATGAGAAGTATGTAATATACAAGTCAATTTTGATGCTTTAAAGAAATACATTATTTAGAACGTAATTATAGAAGACCTTTCTCAGAAATAAAAGGAACAAGTCAAAAACCAAGTTAAAAACAAGTCAAAAACCAAGTTAAAAACGAACTCCATAATTAAAAGGAACAAGATAAAAACACCATATTTTGTTCCAGTTTTTCAAAATTATTGAAATCAATTGGAAATTTCATAGATCAACAGGTTTTAAAAAATTCTAAAAAAAATTAATAAATGAAAAAAATTACTTTCAAAAATTAAAAAGACAAGACTTCAATTGAAATTTTAAGAGATGACTGTTCTTTCACAGAATTTTTTTGGAACTTCGAAAACGTTAAGGTAGTGCTTGAAGCAATAACATAAAAGGCCTACGAGGAACCTTAAAACAAAATGATACACCAAATAATATAGAGTTTTAAAATTCTCATAAAGATTTTACTATTTTGAAAATTTGAGAAAACCATATGGGTACTTTGATTCAAAAAAATTAGAAACCTTTTATAAAGTGTAGTGTATATTTATTACTAGAAAAAAATAAAAAATGAAACAAACCAGGTATTTATAGTTTCAAATTTTGAGTTATGTATGTGCGTGTGTGTGTGTGTGTATGGAAAAAGAGTGTTAAGTTAAAACTAAGACAATACACCAACCAGTTTAACAATTCAAAATTTGTCAAAAATATTACATTTATTTGAAAGTAAATAAAACATATACAAACCTCAGATTAAATTTCAAAATTTCAAAACTCACAAAACAAGTCAGGAACATTGATACTATTTCCTAAAAAATTTGAAACTATTTGATAATGGTAACACAAACTATTTTATAAGTTCGATATGGTTGCAGAAAATAACAGGTAGTAGGAAAAGAAATACCAAAGATCAAAAGAGTATTAAAAACAATTAAATAATTTCAAATTCAAGAACTTGGGGAACCAAAGATCAAAAGAGTATTAAAAACAATTAAATAATTTCAAATTCAAGAACTTGGGGATTTAAAAAAAAGTTATATCGATCATAAATGAATAAATGAGTAAATGACTGGAAATACAAATTTTGAAACATTTAAAGGGAAAATCAGATGTAATTTACAAATCTGAAATGTTAAAGGACACTTTTTTTCTTTTTGAGAAAAAAAAATCTTGAGAAAAAGATGAAATTCTACAAGGCAATTTAAAAGAATCTATTAATGGCAAAATTTTATAAGCCAAAGGATGTCATACAAGATGTCATAGGATGGGGGATTGGAAAAGTCAACTTGTATCAAGCTTTATTATAATTAGTAACAAGTAACCAATACACTTCTCCCAGCAGGCCCATAGAAGGATTGGCAATATAAAAGAATCTATCAATGGCAAAATTTTATAAGCCAAAGGATGTTATACAAGATGTCATAGGACAGTAGTATTGGAAAAGTCACTTGTATCAAGCTTTCTTATAATTATTACTAAGTAACCAATACACTTCTCCCAGTTGGCCTATAGAAGGAAATTGATAAATTTAGAGGTACATAAAATGCAGGTCATCTATTCGAGATAGAAGATTTAATGAAGATCAACAAACAGGTTTTGTTAAGAAATGATACGTACGGAACATACTTTTCTGTTAAGTTCAAAATATTAGTCGATAATGGACACAATCTCAACAAGCCTAAAAAGATACATTGGGGCGATGAGATGAGATGACAGTTTCGATGGGTCGTGACACTGAATAAATATCTCATATGCATGCATCAAATTAGTAAAGGTCATAAGTGAACCAAAAATTGGAAAGGTTCATGAGCATAAATTTGGAGAGGTAATCAGTACATAGAGACAAAGAGATGGATGGTAATTTTGAATGAAGATTAAAATTGATCTCAACAAGCCTAAAGAGATAGCCGGTGAGACAGAATAAACATCTTATATGAACGCATCAAATTCACGGAAGGTCATCAATGAAAATCAGAAATATAATCAGTTAATATACACAGCAAATAGGTGCAAAGGAGATTGATGGTAATATTGAATCAAAGATTAAAATTGTCCTGCAAATAGCCCAAAACATTTTACACAGTTAAGAATTTGTACCAAGCTTCTCAGTTCAAGATATTGGTTGATAATATACGATCTCAACAAACATAAAGAGATAGCTGGTGATACTGAATAAGTACCTCATATTTAAAAAAGGTAATCAGTCAATATACAAAAGATGGATGGTAATATGTAACCAAGATTAAAACTGATCTCAACAAGCCTAAAGAGATGGCTGGTGAAACAGAAGAAATATCTCATATGAACCTTTTATTGGAAAAATAATCAGTCAATATACACTGCCAATAGGTGCAAAGGAAATGGATAATAATATTGAAACAAGATTAAAATTATCCTGGGAATAACCCGGAACTATTTTGAAATGAGATTAAAATTCTCCCGGAATAAGTATTTCATATATGGAAAGGTAATCAGTCAAAATACAAAAGATGGATGGTAATATTACCTTTCCAATATAAATATTTGTCGAACACAAGGGTCATAAAATAAAAAATGAAACCATGTTATAATGATGTTTGAAATTATGTAGAACTTACTTTAAAACTTCAAACCATTGAAAAGTTCTCAAGATTAAGACTTTAGGAATATGATAAAATAGTGTCAAAATGAAAAATATATTTGAAAAGTAAGTACAGTCATGGCACTAAGTTCACATGAACAAAGCCCAGAGCATAAGAAGCAACTAAGTAGAAATAAACAAAACAAAACAAAACAAAATCAAATTACAGCATTTCCAAAGCATAAATGTCTCAATACGACATGTTTGAAAAACTCGAGTTATAAAAACTTGAGAAGTTTTAGAAATTGGGAAGTTCGAAAATCATTTGAATATTAAAGCAAAATTTTAAAAATCATGGTAAAGGAACCATTTGAGATTAGAAAATCGAAAATATAGTAAAATGTAATGAAGATCTGAAATTTTGAAAATGAAGAAAAAAATATCTTTGAATACTTGAAAGCTTTACAAACATGAAAACATGTGAAAAACTTGAGTTATAAATTTTTTAAAAGATAAGAAATGGGAAAGTTTGAAATTAAAAATTAAAGTGAAATGTAATTTATAGAACTAATTGATATTAAAATGTTAAAAAAAATAGTAACTTACCGATTTGAAATGAAAATTTTTAAATATATAGTAATCGGTAAAAAAATATCATAAAATAACACTCTGAGGTAAGGCGAATCGTTTGAATTTTTCTTTAAAGGGTTGAAAAGTACAAAATTACAGTAAAAAATCTTCCAAAACTAATATTTATAAAATCCAAGGCTAATAAAATCAAAATAAAAATATGTGAAATGGTGTTTGAATACTTGTAAATAATATTTAAAACTTAGAACTATTGAGAACTTTAAAAGATTAAGACTTTTAGAATATGAGAACAAAGCATAATACAGTTAAAGTGAAAAATAGATTTGAAAACTTGAAAGCATGAAAAGCTGAAAACTCAAAGAAACTAGAGTTATAAAAACTTTGAAAAGTTAGAGAATTTGAAAAGGTTGAAAATCATTTGAAAATTAAAGCGAATTTTTAAAACTATGGTAAATGAACAATTTTAGATTAAAATAATCAAAAATTATACGAAATGTCATTAAGGTCAGAAAACTTGAAAGTGAAAAAAGATCTTTGAAAACTTAAAAGCTTTAAAACTGTGAAACAGTTTGATAAACTTGAGTTCTGAAATTTTGAAAAGTTAAAGAAATTGGAAGTGAAACGTAAGTTAATACCGATTTGAGATGAAAACATTCAAATATATAGCAAAACGTAACCTAAATTAATAACGTCATTAACGCGAATTATTTGAAAAAACTTCTTAAAAGGTTTGAAAATTACATAAATATAGTAAATTTTTTTCGAAAATAAACATTAATATAGTAGAATCCA